CGATTTGATCGCTTCGCGAAGCGACGAACATGCGCGTGCTGGGATGAGCTGATCGCACGCTGGGTTGAGGACTTGTAAATATTACAGTGATGTATAGACGCTTTGCAGCAGCTGTGCATGGACGCCGCCATAACTGACCTTCAGTTTTTGTTTCCTCTTATTCCGTTTATTTCACTTCATCATTACCATAGCAGGACAGGTTATTGCCATATTAGATTCGACTGTGTCCTTTTCTAAAGCATCGGCCTTTGCAGAGGATCGTCAACTAACGTTTCAGTTGCTCGGCATCTCGGTAAGACAAGAGAAGGTCAGAAATGGCGGCTGTAATGGCTGTAATTTGGCGCGTGTGTAAAGCGTCTATAACTGGCAAACTTGCAACTGCACGAGCTGCCCACACGATCGACACGCGCTTCGCGGTCGAAAGATTTTTTTTTGACGTTACGATTGGTCGGAGGTTTTTCTTGCTTTCTTGTGTTTAGTTACATCTTCGGGGAAAACGAACGCGATATTCAGATTTGCGGGATAAAAATAGTCTAGAATTCACCTCCAACTCTTTTTTAGAGCGCAGCTCTTAGGGGCCCGTTCCCGGCTTGAGCGGCGTCGCCGTCGCCGTCGCCGTCGGCGTCGCCGTCGCCGTCGGCGTCGCCGTCGGCGTAACCGCGCGGTGCATTATGGGTAAATTTCCCCGCTAAATCTAGCGGAAAAAATTTCCCCGCTAAATCTAGCGGAAAAATTTCCCCGCTAAATCTAGCGGAAAAAATTTCCCCGCTAAATCTAGCGGAAAAAATTTCCCCGTCAAATCTAGCGGAAAAAATGTTCCCGCTAAATCTAGCGGAAAACTTTCCCCGCTAAATCTAGCGGAAAAAATTTCCCCGCTAAATCTAGCGGAAAAATTTCCCCGCTAAATCTAGCGGGAAAATTTCCCCGTCAAATCTAGCGGAAAAAATTTTCCCGCTAAATCTAGCGGAAAACTTTCCCCGCTAAATCCTAGCGGAAAAAATTTCCCCGCTAAATGTAGCGGAAAAAATTTCCCCGCTAAATCTAGCGGGAAAATTTCCCCGCTAAATCTAGCGGAAAAAATTTCCCCGCTACATCTAGCGGAAAAATTTTCCCCGCTAAATCTAGCGGAAAAAATTTCCCCGCTAAATCTAGCGGAAAACTTTCCCCGCTAAATCTAGCGGAAAAAATTTCCCCGCTAAATCTAGCGGAAAAATTTTGGTCACGTGACCCGGGGGTCACGTGACCTGGGGAGTCACGTGACCCCCTCCCGAGGTCACGTGACCTCTGAGGGCACGTGACCCCCCCCCCCCCCCGAGAACACGTGGTTCTCAGTACCCTCCCCTCCTCCTCCTCCTCAAGAGCTGCGCTCCAATTCGGCGTTACAGGGAGTGGTAAACGGCTTTCACTTTTTTTTTCTCTTTTTTTAACCCTTTTAAAACCTTTTATTTATTTATTTTCGAACGCAGGTTTACATCTTTGTCATCTGTGACATATGCTCCTGCCCGGACCGTGTCGTATCTGGACCCAAATAAATTTCTTTCAGCACACTATACCAAAGTCAGCGAGCAGCCGCACGGGAAATCCCGGAGAATCTTACCCCGTACTTCCCTTCCGCCATTTTGTAACTACCGTTTCAGCATCTATAGGTCGTCGGAGTTGCGAATATACCGCTCGGTGAGCTGCGCGCTGTGAATGCAAACACACCGTTCTAAAAACACTTCGCTGCTGCAGTAAAGCGCGAGAACGGCCTGGGGTTGTAAGGTGTGTATCGTTACAATGGTAACAAGTTCGTTTAAACCGGTGCTTACGTTTGCGCTACAAACAAAATATTGATTTTTTTTCCTATTTTTATTGGATGATACACACATGTGTAATGTTACTTATCGACATATAGCAAAGAAGGCAGAGCCGCACACGACGCACCGGAATGCCATCAAAAGTGGTTGCTTCGCCGTAGTATTAAAATTGTGTATACCAAAACTTACATCAAATTTTCGATTTAAAAAAAAATCCAAAGCATGAAGAGATAAATTTTATATAAAGCTCCATCACGTCCACGAGCTGTAGTCCGTCGGTATAAGTATTCTCTCAGAAGCCATTACGATTGTGTATTGTCAGTTTCATGTAAGACAAAACAGAACAAAAAACGATATTAGGGGGTGGTCACGCTGCGCGGTAAACCATGATTGGCGAGGGAGGACGGCGCTGTATAAAGTACTGTCGCTCACATTTCGTTTCTCTACTGCGTCAAAAAAAAGCTTCGTCAGGCTGTTTGTAGAGCCGTACACACGCAACTACCCGATAGCCCAACGCAACGAAGAGCTCGCTCCCAACACCCGCGATGGGGATTGTCTTTCTTTCGCGCCCGGAACGAAACTACTCCGTCGCTTTGTCAAACAAACGACAGTTGGAAGTCAAAGCGGAAGCCTTTATTCGAGACAACGGATCATTTGCCCTTCGGAAGCCGAGAACCTCTAATTTGGCTCCCCTCCGAGAAATCGCGCTGTCAAAGTTCAAACGGGTCCACCAAATGTGGTGCCGCTGCCTGGACGCGACGCTAAGAAAATATCTCTCCGAGGCTCGGCGAATGGTGCCAGTTGACACGAAACCGCCCGAACGGCCAGAGCAATCTCTTTGATCAACGCCTTCTTTCTCCTCGCCGCTTGCACTTTTCTTCGTGGCCACAAAGCCAGTCGTATCAGATGCTCGCGACGTTTTGAGGTCAGTCGGATGTAAATGGCGCCTTTCATTTCGTACGAATAAAGACGGCGTGGCCGACTGTTTCAAAGCGATCGCTGGGACAAAAGGCGCTTCTTCGCCCCATCGTGAGCCGACATCGCATTTCCAGCGTCGTCCGCTTTATAAGAAAGTACCGCCCCTTTCAAAAAGTTCCGATACAAAAAAAAACGAAGGGAAGACGCACATAATTTACGCAGCCATGGAGCGGTCTGTGGTAAAATAAAATCGTCTGGGGCGGCTGCAACAATCCACAACCTAATGCCAAAAAAAAAAAAAAATTGTCTGCGGTTTATTGCGTCTTTAGATCGAGACGATTGAAAATATTTGCAGCTTCAATTGAATTGTTCATTAACATAACGCCCTATTCGCATTATTAAATTTCTGTTTTGATTAGTGATATTAATAAATAATGTATTTCATCACATAATTTTGTGGGGTTAAGCTCATCGCTACATATCGAGCAGGAAAAAAGGTACGCCGCACCAGTAATCATATTATAAAGTAAAACGATTGTAGGGAAAGCTACAGTAACCTTCTTTATGGTATCGGGGCGTGCTCTTCTTATTTCATGCTTTTTATGAACGAATTCAGATGTTTATACTTACCGGGGGACACGGTGCCGGGGGATCGGTGGCCAGTGGGCTAGCGCACATCAGTTCGGAGCACGTGGAGTGAACGCTCGCGCTGCAGAACCCAGTAATCCATGGGTAGTACAGTCTACCATGAGTTCGTTCCCCACCCCTGCCAGTTTCGATCTGGATGAGCGTCGTACCGGCGTGTGGTCGTGCATCACTGCTGCGTGGTGCACGTTTAAGACCCCAGACTAATGGCGACGTGTGCGATCAAAAGCGTCGCTGTGGTCGGCCTTTCACGATTGGCCAAATACTGACTATGACGTCAGCAAAGGTTTTCTCATCGACAGAAATAAGAGCAGTGTAAGAACGTAAATTTTGACGGTGTCGGCAGTGTTGATTTCAAAACGCAATGATGTCAAGCTTCCGCCATGCTAATTACAAACACCGTCGAACTTATAGGAAGTATTCACTGGCGGCCATAGCTGTGTGCGCGACTGCTGAGCGCGTGCTGATGGCGAGCTTCCACAGTTCTTTTGTAACGTTCACTCCGCACCCTCAAGATTGCCGGTCTTAGCAGCCTATTGATGTGGGCTCGTTCTGAGCATGCGCTTTAAACAGCACACACAAATATGGCGTCCAGTGAATACTTCTTATTGGAGACGAGATTGAACAGTCACACCACTACCGGTACGCCTCAGCTGTGGGGACAACAAAACCGAAATTTCTTGTTTGTTTTTGATCCGCGATATCGAAGATTACGGTTCGAAGGTTGTGCGACCAAAGCGCTGGTAAGAGCGAAGCGTTCGTGCCGAGACCGTGCGTGGCGAGTTTCAATTTCTTTGTTGTGCTGTGTTAGTAAATACCGAGCTGTGGGAACAACAAGCTCGATAAAGTGAACGTCATAAAGTGGACGTCATATTTGAGGGCGATGTTTAGAGCGCATGCTCAGAACGAGCTCGCATTAATAGCCTGCTAGGACCGGCAATCTTGATTTTGCGGAATGCACGTTGCAAAAGAACTGCGGAAGCTCGCCGTCAGCACGTGCTCAGCAGCCACGCACACAGATATGGCCGCCAGTGAATACTCCCTATAGTTCGATCTCCTGCCCAATACTATAGGGAGTATTCACTGGCGGCCATATCTCTCTGCGCGAATTCTGAGCGCGTGCTGGCGAGCTTCCATAGCTCTTTTGCAACGTGCATTCCGCATCATTGAGCGTGCCGGTCTCAGCAGCCTATTAATATGAGCTCGTTCTGAGCATGCGCTTTAAACAGCACTCACAAATATGGCGTCCAGTGATTACTCCCTATATTCACCCTTAAGCTGAGACTGCAGCCACAGCAACAAACGCGCTAGCCCGAGCTTTTGGCTTTGAGACATGCATTTCTAGCGCGAGCTCTCGTTCTGCGGAAGAACGCTTCAAAGCAGCGACCTCGAGCTTGTATGCTTATGAACGAGTGTAGTGGTTGTATTGCACTGTCTAAATTTCTCACCCACAGCTGAGACACCAGACGCCCATTTGAGGCTGACTGACTTCCGGCTCTATAAACATTCACACAGCGTTATTTTTTACTTTTACCGGTTTATGACAAACCGAATATCAAAGCGGTGGTGCTACGTAAAGTCCTTTTAGCTCCCCCCTTTTTTTACGTGGAATTTAAGCCCCGTGCGTCTGTTTGGTTTCAGATGAGCGCCACGTGACAATGCTCCTGCGGCGGTTCTGGAGAAGGGGCCGCAACCCGGGCGCGGTGGCGGGCCACTGGCTGCTCCTCTGGCTGGGCGTGCTGCTGCCGCCGACCCTGGTCTGGGCAGAGCCCCAGGGGGACGCGTGCCCCTCCTGGAACCGGAGGCCCTGGTGCCCCTGCTACGAGTTCGACAGTGACGTCTTCCTCGAGTGTAACTCGGTGTCCCCCGAGCAGATCGGAGTCACCCTGGCCGAGATACACAGCCCCGTCAAGATGCTCAGCGTCTACAACCTGCACTCGAACATGACCACGCTCCCGGCTGGCTTCTTTCTCAACCGCACCATATCCCGCCTCTTCATATCCAACACGCAGATCAGCAGCGTCGAGGAAGACGTGTTCCTCGGACTTGACGAGACCCTCGAGACGCTCTCGCTCACGCAGAGCAAACTCAGGGAGGTTCCCAAGGGCGCGCTAAAGAACCTCAGGGCCCTCCGCTCCCTCGAGCTCAGTTCCAACGAGATAGGGGAACTGGACAGTTACGTCTTCTACGGTCTGCAGCTGACGAATCTTCAGCTTTCCAAGAACAAGATCGAACACATCACTGAGTACGCGTTCGGAGGTCTGGAAAACAGCCTGGAGGAGCTTAATCTTATCGACAGTGGGCAGAGGTCGTTCCCACTGAACGCTCTCCGGAGACTACGGAGCCTGAAGGCACTCAGGCTGGCCGAAAACGAAATCAAAGACATACCTGACGACGGCTTCACGCGGTTCACGGCACTGCAGAGGTTGGATATGAGCTCCAACCGCATCCGAGAGCTGAACGAACGAAGCTTCGTTACCATGCCACGACTCACTTCGCTGTCGCTGCACATGAACCAATTGAGCGACCTCGATGACTCCTGTTTTATACACCTTCTTGAGCTGGAAGCCCTTGACCTCAGTCAGAACACAATACACACGCTAGGTCGTCGGGCCTTGACACCGTTAAAGAAACTACGAACCATAGAACTAAGTTCGAACCACTTGCACAGCGTTGAGAGCGGCACTTTTCAGAACATGACTCACCTGCGAGAAGTACTCCTTTCCAACAACAACATTCTTAGAATCACAAACGACACTTTTCTCAACTCTTCTCAAATTTCGGCTTTATTCTTAGCCAACAACGCAATAACACAGATTGAAATAGCCGCGTTCTACTCTCTCCCCCACTTGTTCCAGCTTCACTTGTCGTACAACCAGCTCCGCAGCATTCATTCCACGATGTTCAAGAATAACCGAGAGCTTCGTTCCCTCTCCTTGGACAGCAACTTGATCGCGGACTTGCTGCCAGGAACTTTCCAGGAGCTTGTAGAACTCAGAGACCTTCGATTGGAAAATAACTTACTCAAAAAAATACGCAAGGGCGTCTTCTACTCGTTGCCCAACCTGCAGGAGCTGCATCTTCAGTTCAACCGTATTGAGACAATCGAGAACGAAGCGTTCCAAAGTCTGGCCAACTTGCAACATCTCAATCTTCACGGCAACAGGCTCACCGACGTTGGCGACATCCTCAGTCGATATCCGTCCAGTTTAAGGTCCCTGATTCTGACCCAGAACGAAATCAGCAATATGCACGCCAACAGCATGAGTGGGCTCAACAAAGTGGACATTCTCTGGCTGGACTGGAATAAGCTGAGCCGCCTAAGAAAAGAGATGTTTCGCGACCTCATTGAAGTCGACCGCCTTCACTTGAACCACAATGAGATCACAATAATCGAAGAGGGAACATTCGAAAGAATGATCAAGTTGAGAACGCTCTATATGGAATACAACACGTTAAGTCACGTCAGTACGGACATGTTCCGCGGGGCGGAAAGTTTAGAAGAACTTTACCTGTCGCACAATAACATTATGGACATAGAACCGCAGACATTTCAGTCCTTGAAGAAACTTAAAGTTTTGCATATGTCTCACAACCAAATATATGTCATACGAAAGTATATGTTCGAGGGTCAAATTCCTCTTCACGAATTATTGCTTTCAAGTGTCATGGCGGAGGATGTTGAGGCTGGCTCTTTCCTGGAACTGTCATCTCTTGTTACCCTGGACATCAGCAACAACAAATTGATCAGCGCGAGAGTTGATTTCTTGTTCCTTCCAAGTGTGAAACATCTAGACCTGTCAGGAAATAATTTGACGGGCGTTCATGATAACATCTTCTACGGTTTATCAGCGCTCGAGACGCTACAGATTGAAAACACAGGAATCAGTCCGATCACAGGAAAGCTTTTTGAGCCACTCTCCGAGCTGAAAGTTCTCAACCTCAGAGGAAATGGGATCCAAGATTTGGACGGAAAACAGTTGCATGGATTAACAAACCTGACTGAGCTCAAGCTGGACAACAACAATCTTAGTCTCTTGCCTTCTTCAGCCACGGAACTGATGCCGAATCTCGAACTCCTGTCTTTGTGTCAAAACAAGATTAGTAGGATAAGCAGTAAAGCCTTAAAGTCTAATACAGCTCTCGCTAGAATTAATCTGAGCAACAACTCGATATCCGAAATTGCGAACGATGCGTTCTACAACTTGACAAGCCTCAAGGAACTGATCCTGACAAACAACATGCTTACGGTCCTTGACGCTTCAATCACGGGGGCTTTAAAGTCTATCCAGGAATTGTCATTCGAAGGAAACAACCTTAGCTTCATCCCAAACGCCTTGCTCACTACAAACATGGACCAACTGTTGACACTAAACTTGAATCATAACCCTCTCATTAGAATCCGTGAAGACTTCACCACTGAAGGAAGTTTCACTGCATTGCGCCACCTCAACATAGAGCACAGCAACATCTCAATCGTTGCTTCCAACGATTTCGTCGGATTCCCCTCACTGTCTGCGCTATCCCTCAGCCACAACAGCATCATCAAAGTGTCACCGGGAGCGTTCAAGCCTCTTAAGAAATTGCAGGTCTTGGACCTCGGCTACAACTCAATAGACATTCTGCCGTCTGAACGCTTTCAGGGAATCGATCGCCTTCAGATCATCAACCTTACCCACAACCTTATCATGGACCTGCCGCGATTCGGATCGGATCTTCAGCACTTGGAACAGCTAGATCTCTCCTATAACAAGCTCACTCGGCTTCATGAAAAAGTGTTCAGCAACGTGCATAGACTCCGAAGTCTTTCCCTTCGCAGCAACGAGCTGGGCTGGGTGGCGGTGAGTGCCTTCGTCAACCTTACAGCTCTGGTCAGCTTAGATCTTCGAGACAACAAACTTGCCTACCTTGCCAGCTCTGTGCTTCAGCCTATTGAAGTGCGACTCGGCGAACTCTTACTCTTCGGTAAGTATTTTACAAAGTTTACTTTTGAAATGAACAGCAAGAATTTATGCGAGTGGTTTTATAACTTCCGCTTCCAGGCGTGTTACGCCATGGGTATATTTGGTATCCCGCAATTATTTTTAGGCAACGATTAATCACATACTCTGAAGATGACAATTATTGATCGTCCCTCTCGGCTCGTACAGTGCGTTCTAAAAGAAATCTAAAATAAGATTATCTTCAGCACTCCAAAGGCGAGCTAAAAAGCATTTTATAATTTACATTAAATTAAACCCTAAGCTCATTTTAAGTACCATCTAATTTTTTCAATAGCAAATCCGATATTTCGTTAAGTAAATGCAGGGTTCATTTTAACAGCTACATTATTAACATGAGTCCACAATTTAAAGAAAAACGTACTGCTAGAAATAGTTGATCACAGTTTAGCAGAAGTTGGTACCAAGTAAATGTTGTATTTGCTTTTTCCTTGTATAAAAAAGAAATATCAGCAGAAATCTATCGTATACTTCTTTGATTCTTAGGGTGCGCAAAACAAACTCCAAACAAACACCGAAATGCAACCGTTAGCAAAGACGATGTTTTTTTTAAAATGATTGAAGTACAAATTACAATAAAAACGCACGAATAACAATACGATATATCAACTGAATCGTTCAGTCACGACAAAAAAGGAAAAGCTAGCTTATTTCGAATTTATATTTTTTTCTCACAACCACGTGAACAACATTAAAAGAGTGGCGTGCGACAGCAGGCGCCAGCTTCGCATTCCAGACCACTCATCGTAAGATAAAGGAATTAGAAACCGCGCTTCCGAAGCGGAAAATGTATCCCGCACTCAGTAATACGAACCCAAAAGTTTCCTATACCACAAAACACAAAGAACGTAAATCCGGGAGACATTCGCCTATTCGCTCGCCTCGCCAGTTCTCCCCATCCTTTCCCGCGCTCCGAATAGAGCCCAAGCAGTGAAATGGAAGCGCGGTGGGACAGAGGGCGGCACAAAGAAAAGCAATCGCGCTATTAAAGTGATCACGAAACGAAGACGAATAGAAGAGGGCGAGCTCCCATCGGAGCAGCTCAGCGGGAGCAATCTTGTGAAATAGAAAGCCCGTCCATTGATCAAGCGGGGAAGTTAAGATAAGGAGGCCTTCCCCTAAATTCTGAATCCGTCCGCGTTTCCCCACCCTTCGTTTTCATCCGCTTCGTGGACTCACTCCCGTCTTCATTTGAATGAATGCGCCCGGTGGATCTGCCAGCACTGCGAGCGCGGGTTGCGAAATGCTTCTATACCGAGCTCAGGAATTTAAGCTTGCAAGTCCCCTCTAATTCCAGCCGGGTCTTTGTGCCAGCCGACGCTGTCCCATTCTCTTTCCTCGGACAGATTTCGGTCTTCGAGGCCCGCCCTGTTCCGAGTCCTTTGTGTCCTCCGAGGACGCTCGGGTGACCCCGTGTCCCCCCATTGCAGGCAACCCGTTTCACTGCGACTGCCGGCTGCTGGGCCTCTGGGAATGGCTTCAGGACCATCCTCGCCTAGCCACCCGCGACCCGTCCTGTTCGCTGCCGGACAAACTGGCCAATCAGTCGGTTGGCTCCCTGCACCCGGTTGACTTCTGCCCGGCGCCGCTGATGACGTCGACCGAAGTGCGACGCTTGGACCACGACCGGCTGTCCCTTGAATGGGACGTCCAGAACGGCACCCTCATCGGCGGCTTCCTGGTCACGTACCACGCCACCTCCGAGCCGGCTCCCGCGGCCGGCACCTCGCTGGAGCCCAGCGTGCGCCGTTACGACATCGACGGGCTCCGGACCGAGACGTGGTACACGGTGTGCGTGACGGCCACGGGCAAGTACCTGCGCAGCCTTGGCCGGCCCACGCCGTACACGGCCGACGTGGAACGCCCTTACGATATGTCCACCAACAACCGGAAGTGTCTCCAGGTCCGGACTTTAGCCAAGACGGACAAGACGCGCGTGACCCTGTCCACGCTGGGCATCATCCTCGGCGGCAGTGTGAGCGCGGTCCTGGTGCTCATCCTGGCCGTGCTTCTGACGGCGCTCAAGTTCAAGCGCCGGCGGCGCAGGCGCCCCGTCAAGGCCAACGACGTGCCCCAGGAGTACATTTCGTACCGGCACTTCTCCATCCAGAGCAACGACGGCGTCTACTCCTGACAGCGGGAGCAGCGCCTTGCCGAAGGCGACATTGTCATCGAGTGACAAGAAAAAAAAAACCGCATGCGCTGACGGGAGCAGGAGACGCCGCGAACTTGCCACGAGACAGCTGACGGACAGACGCAGTGCGTGTGCTTCGCGGCGACGCCACGCCTCGAACAGCCCGAGGACAGCGAGGCAGTGCTTCGCGTACGCCTCTCTGTCGGTGTCGGTGTTGTGTTTTCTTGCAAGTGTTTCGAAGTGCTTCAACAGGAAGAAACGAGCATCGAGTTACACCTCTGCATAGTGTGTGGCGAGCGGGAGCAAACGGACGTCGGAACGCGATGCCAAACCACGCACACTTCATATCTGGCAGAGTGACTGGTGCGCTTCGAATTGTGTTGGGGGTGTATAGTTAATTGTTTGAATCCTGCTCCGTGTTATTTAAAAGCGCGTTGGGCGAGCAGACTGTGTTCGCATTCTGAAGCAAGTGTGTAACGTGTGAACGGCTTTTTTTTATATAAATGTAAATATACTGAAGTTCTCAAACCAAGTTTAAGTAAGTCACCGAGGTTATTACTCAAGTTACGCACCCAATTAAACGCAATTAAGAGTTAGTTTCTGCATAAAGTAGAATCACCCCGCGGTTCGCTAAAATTATTGAATATAAGAAGGTCTACATTTTTTTCGCGATCTCATGAGATCGCGGGTTAACAAAAACACTATTTCGTGGTGCGCCTTGAATAAAAAATAACAAAAGAACTGTAACTCTAAATGGTTCCACCCTGCACCAGTCGTATAATCGCTGAAAGCCGAGTGTTTTTCGGGTATTACGAATTAAACTGTTCATGGGTCTAGTTAAGTTACAAAGTGATCATGAATAAAAAAATAACAAACGAAAAGTAATTTCTTATAGAATTATCTACGTAGTAATTTTCCAGGGCTTGATTATAAGTGTGCACTACATCAAAAGCTCAATTGGACTTTATTTTTATATTATCAAAATAAAACTGGAATGAACAAAGCTCTTCAACGCGTGCACCTGTTCACAATATTGTACTTCCTACTAAAAATGTTGATTTCCAACAAAAATATTCATACAATCAGAGCGGTTTATGCTGGCTATAAAAAAAAAACTTATGTTTTCTAAGGAACGTAGGTTGTTCTCCCCTCATCAGTTGAAGTAAAACACGCATCCTCAATTTCTATCGCGCTATTTCACTTTTATGCCGACTCGCAGTATCCTACAGAATAGGTGAGAATTTGTGTTGGAATTATGCTGGCAAAAATACATTAACGCGGGACCGTTTTACTTGGAATGTTATGTAATAAAATGTTTCGCAAGAAAAAACTCGGCGCCTTTAGACCTTATAGTTTAATCACAATTTATGCAGCTCTAAACAATAATATGAAACATATAGATATTCCAAGAATTCAAAACATATAAAATAAAAAAAAATAAAAAAATTCTCGGTTTTTTTTTTTTTTTTTTTTTTTTTTTTTTTTTTGAGCGCGCAAACGACACTTTCCATATAACAAAAAAAAACTTGTGAGGACCCAAATAATACATTGTCGGGAAAAAATATTTTCGTTAAAGAGTCTTATTAGTTCCGGTTCACACACTGCACAAGGCTGCGATCACAAGGAAGTACAAGGCTGCGTCGCGCAGCCTTGCGCTTCTTTGTGATCGCATACGACGAGGAAACACGCTAGCGCCATCTATCGGCTACTTCTGTGATTTCCTAATATTTCCGAAATGCTTTCAAACGTGTTTTTCTTTACCATGGGCTCGAAAAACGTTTAACAGTGTTATAAACGATCAGTTCTCGTAGATAGCACCTACATTTGATCTCTCAACTACTACAAAACCCAAAATTTTCACTCAAGTTCAATGCAGTTACAGGGCTACCTCACAGATGACGCCAGGTATGCCTAGGTGGCGCAAGCCACCACCCTATTAAAGGTGCTCTCTCGTTGTAAGGTGCTTTCTCGTTAAAGGACCGATGCAACAATTTTCGTACTTTGCGCAAATACCGCTTAAAACGGATCCCTAACGTTAATGACCTATGAAACACGCGTTCGTATTTCACCCCACGCAATAGAAGTCCCCAAAAAAATTAAAGAAAAACGAGCAGCGTTCACCCCCTCAACTCGCAGCCAGAACAAGTGGCCACGTGATCTGGAGCCGATTATATGCCGCCAGTGTTGATCATAGCCACGCGCTGGGGTTGGCAAAGCACAGAACACGCGCTGAGTTCCAGACATTGTTATGGCTCGGCTGTTGTCGTCGTTGCAGCGATTGGACACGGGTGCTTCTCGAGCTAGCAATTATCACGAGCCCAAGTCGAGTGCCCACGCAATGCTCGGGTGCAATCTATGAACTGCATTCAAATACCGTCACTTGGGTGTATTGCGATCCCCGAGTTACGTCATCAAATTTTGCAAAGGAGAGATTGAATGAAAATGATTGCTTTTGTCCTTGAAATTACACCGCAACAAAGGAGTTTCTTGACCAATGGTGTTGCGTGTGAGTATCCTTGAGTCCCAGGTGTGCCAGTAAGCTCGTGTAGAGAGAAAAACATTCCAATTGAATATCGCTGCACCGCTCCTTTAAAGTATTCTCTCGTCGTAGGGGAGCACATAACTGCACAACGCACTCGGTGTTGTTGTTGATTTGTGTGTGTATGTGTGTGTGTGTGTGTGTGTGTGCGTGTGTGCGTGTGTGCGTGTGTGCGCGCGTGTGCGTGTGCGTGTGCGTGTGCGTGTGTGTGTGTGTGTGTGTGTGTGTAATTTCGGGGGGACAATTGGATTGGGGAAAACAAGTTAAGAAGAGTTCCAAATCTTCGCCAACTGTAAGTATTGAAGAAACACAACTCTGTCGTGCTTTTGATTCCTGGGTAAACAGTAGGGTGTAACTGATTGTATGTGTAATGACCCTTTTAAGCTGGTTATGGACTGCATGAATTGTAATAGATCGATTGTGCTTTATAGGTTCTTCTGGGACATCACACACCCAAAGCATAAAAAAATTCTTAATATCCATAAAATAATGGTATTTTAAAACAAAACAACATTATGCTTAAAGGTGCCCTGAGCAGGTTTTTGAGAGCGTCTATATATGGCGGTAATTTACTCGGCGGGCTCTAAGAATCCTTGAAATCCATAAATCATAACGCGCCTATTCGAGATATCGCTCCGCGGTTCCACCGGTCGGAGGCGTGAGGTACGTTTGCTTGCTATTGACTCACAGTGTATCGTCAAGATTTAGGGATTTCTAGGATGCTTGGAGCCAGCAAAGTGAGTTTAGCCATATTTAGGCGATCTAAAAAAGCTCCTCGTGGCACCTTTAAAGCTAATTTCGAGTGGTCACACATCGTTGTCATTTCTTAGACTCGAGAGGGGTACAAGATGTTTCTGTATGTTCGAATATTAAATAGACCCATTACGTTGGTCTGGAAGTTGGAGAGCGTAAATTTTATGACCAATGGCATACAGCTGGTAAACTGGTAAAAAATAGAAATGCAGAACGTGAATTTATCATTTTTAACCTCACCATCTGATACTCTTATGACAGTCGAAAGCCAAACGTATTGAACCCTCACGTTCTAAAAAATCTTGACCGCCTATTTTCCCGCAAAGTACTTGACCAATCGCTGCAATCTATAGAGAATTTCGGCAAATAACGAGAGAAAAAATGTGTTCATGCCTAAGAAAAAATAGTCTGCGCTACGGCAGTGAGCTGTTACAGTGAAAATATATTATTAGTGTTCCCTGTTGGGCCAGTTGGTGCTGAATCTTTGAAAACATGAACGCGCTTATAGACAACGCAAAAGAGGGAAGAAGAAGAAGACATGACAATGCGCTACCTTCAACTGTTTAATCGTGAAAATATGCAGGAATAACTCATCTACTTCATCGCGCCACTCGACACATCCCCTAAATTCGATTGATATAGTGGACAAAAAGACACAGCTCTTGCAAACCGCTTTGGGGTAGAGGATTAGGAGCGACAAAAAGGAGGATATATTCGAGCGTATTTTAGATGAAGGAACAGCTCAAGTTAGCGCCGTCTGTTGACCTTTGTTCTGCCCTCTTCTCCTGTCCATAAGCTGGACCACGTTTTCAAAGATGTATTATCACCCCCATCCTTCGCCAAGATTGCAGCAATCAGCTCTCCCAAGTGCTCCGATTTTCTATAGTGCAACAAGGTTAAAGAAGATCGGCTTCTTGAAACTGAGGGTCCGGCCTCATCAGGTTGAGCTTATCTATCTTTCTGCCTGCTATCTAAAACCCTATGGTAATAAATATTGGAACCAAGCCAACAAATGAGAAAACAATAAATTGGCGAAAAACGTCAGCGCAAGTTTTTTCGTTTGTTTTTTCATAATTTCAAATTTTAATTCCAAATACCTTCAAAAGTTCTATATTTTGTAGAGTTCTGATGCTTTTGTAAGTTTTCTTACAAGCAACCGACGTCTTTCCATCCAAACTATTAAATAATGGTCGCTAACTCTATTTATAAAGTAACCAGAATCATCCAATTGACACGTCAATAACTTGCGAGGGGCTATACGAATATGTGCCGCGCACATTTTCCCCAAACTCGCTTAAAAAGAACCCAGACGTAAATTGAATCTCCCCCAGAGATCCAAACTTTCCCATAGTCGCAAGAGCTTAAAAAAAGAAGGGTGTGGCGAGTCCCGGACGTCTTAGCTCCGTAGCCGATGACGTTGCGGCGTTAGCCGATAAGAACACCGAAGCACCAATCAGGAAGCAAAGAGAGTGAAGGTTATGAACCGTGCTCAGCGTTTCTTAAGCTGTAAGCGACTATTAGTCCCAAGCTGGACCAATTGGAGCCCTCCGATCGTTTGGCGGTGACGTGGAGACAAGGCAACATTACGTGACCGGGTCAGGTATTCCTTTCGCTTTGCCTCGCTTTGGGTCTGTGGTTTTAACGCGTTGTGGCAATTACTGCTCGCTTAAACTTTTTCGTTTTTTTTACTATGTCGCAAAACGTGCGT